GGGTATGTAGGTAATAAATACAATCTTGAGGCAGGAAGTAGTTTATATTTAATCAGGAAAACTTTCGGTTCCAAAGCAGGGAAAGCATGCAAAAGTAACCAGTTGGCTTACTGATAAAGGAACTACATTAGCAATACAGGAATACATGCTCCTAGTAAGTAAAGGTATTTTTATTGATTTAAACACTTATTTTATAAACTGTATCTTCTAACTGTATGACTTAAGAGGAATGAATTCCGCTGGCCTAGTTCAAGCTATTACAAAGTATTAGCAAGAAACATATCAACCTAAAATATCACAAGCCAATACTGTGCTTCCAGCATTATCTATTGATAGAATTGATCGAAGAATCAAGCGAGCACTACCAGTGGCTAGCCATTCTGCACGAGCCTGGTTATTGAAACTAGGCTGGAATTGGCAAGAAGTTAAAAAAGGAATCTATAAGAATGGTCATAAGAGAGATGATGTCAAGGTATATTGTAATAACATCTTTCTTCCATATATGCATACTCTACAACCATGAATGCTAGAATGGAATGAAAGCCTACATCCCATTGAAAAGTATTTGGAGCTTGGAGTTAAACCCCTGGTATTTTTTACCCATGATGAGTGTACCTTCAACTCTAATGATAGATGCCATAAGATTTAGATCCATGAAGACAAGATGTCAATTAGAAAGAAGGAACGAGGCTAAGGCCTTTACGTATCAGACTTTCTGACACCAATTGGATGGTTGGATGGTGGTGATGTGTGTGAAATTCTCAAATATGGAGGCAATATATGGTGGACAAGTAAGTTGTTATTAAAACAACTGAAAGAAAAGGTAATTCCTGTATTCCAGTTAGCATTTCCTGGATATTAGGAATTGTTTGCATTTGATAATGCAAAAATCCATCAAGAGTATGCTGCAGATACCCTTCAAGTAGGAAACATGAACCTTATACTAGGAGGAAAGAATATAGTACATATATGAGATGGCTATTTTCAAAAACCCGACGATCTGAATACTATTTGCCAGCAATCGATGATGCTACCTGACAGTTAGTTAAACGGCCTCCAAATTGTTCTCCAAGAATGTGGCCTATGGCCAGCTGGACGGAAATTTCTCATACAATATATGATTCCAGGTAATAAGCCAGGACAGCGGAAGGCTAACCCAGCTTACAGGTATGCAACAAATACAAACTGTTGCGCACAAGCACTTCTTTCTTTACAACTTGACTTTCAAGCTTAAAAAGGTGAACTGCAGCAAACCTTGGAAGCAGCTGGCCACCTGGTAATATTTTACCCTGTATTTTACTACAAGTTGAACTTTATCGAGTACTTTTAGGGTTGGGTGAAACTCTATACTAGGGCAAATTGTAAATACACTTTTTCTGCCTTAGTACATACAGTTCTAGAAGTCTTAGCTAAAGTTCTAAATACTTTAATTTGGAAGTATTATCAGAGAACATTACATATGATAGATGTATATCAGAGCAATATGATTTATAGATCTGAAGATTTTAAGAAGTATGTCTATACCAGATCTTCTTCTCACCGTAGTATTGCAGAGTCTGAACTTAATATACAGTAATTGAATTTGTATGTAATTTAAATTACTTATATTTCTTACTTCCTCTTTTTATTAATCAGTTGTATAATATAATACTGGTTGGTAAAGTCAAATCTGATATGAAATTACCATATAGCGTGTCATATTGATTTATAACATTATAAAGGTTATACCCAAACTCTAAGGACTCTTGAAATCCCATTAAGAGAGGGTAATTTCTCTTTTTTTTTTTCTTCAGGTGTTACACAAAACATCACAGCCAAGATGGTCACTTTTTTTATATAAAAACTGGTTTAGAGTTTAGTCTTTCAGAACCATATCATAAGATTCAATATATAATTTAAAATGCTTACCTCAAATTAAAAGAATATTTATTTTTCATAATCATTAATATTTTCTTCAGCTACAGATTTTGTATCAAGTGTATATTATATAGCTTTTCCTTCATCTACTCCTAATTATATATATAAGGCATAATTGAGAAAAGAATTAAAAGAAAAGACCTGAAGAAATAGGATTATAAGAAATGAAAAACGGAAAGATATGGATAAAATATTGCAGAAAAAAAATATTCTGATAATATGAGAAGAAGAAATGAATAATAGAGAAGACCACAAATATTTTATACACTAGAAATATAGAATAGAATATCATAAATAAGAAATAGAAAAACTCTTTATATAAGTTTTGATAAATAAGTTGAAACTAATGAAAATAGATAAGTAGTACAAATACAAATTAAAAAAATAAAATTGCCAATATATAACTGCATTTTACATATATATACACTTCAACTAATACATATATACAATACTATAGGTCCTAATTTCTCTCTTTTTTTAATCAAATGTACTCTTGTAAGTAAACAAATCTAAGGAATTTCTAATACTTATAGCAATGGAAGAAATTTGATGTGCTATGATTCCACCTATAAAGAATAAATACTCTTCAGCCTTTAGCTTTTAAATAACTTTTAACGGTCAAAGAATAATACCTCTACTAGTAAATGTACTCTAAAGAACCACTATATTATATATAATATAATTGTAGTTCTGCTAATAAATATGTATACTTAGTCATGTAGTATTTAGTTACATATTTTTGTTAATTGCAGTACCATACTAAGCTCCAGCCATTTATTGAAACTATATAGATAGATAGTAGTCAACTCAAGTAAACTTGATATATATATATATTAGAATCTAGTATTCAAAGTATATTGGAAAGGAAAGTGAAAAGAGGCTTATTGGTAGCAAGTTATTATTATAAGGAGAGGAGATTATGTTTATACTTAGTACTTTGCATAATTGTTTTACTATAATCAGCCTATTTGGTATAGTAGCAATAGAGAAAGTTCTCACAAGGGTTTAGTAGAATTAAAGGCTAAGATAAAATAGGCTATACATTTTTAAGTATTGTAATATACTCAGAAGGAATAGGAAATTAGTAAGTAAGAATTGTTCTATTATGATCTTTAAGTATATGAGGATAGCTATCTGAATAGAAGGAAATCAAGCCATAGCTAAATAGATGATAGTTTTGGTAAACAAGTAGTGTATATAATTATTTTTTAGTTCTTTAAGATTAATATAGCTAATATGTGATGGGAATCCTACCTGCCAGAGAGTACGACCAGTAATAATCCTGGCTTCTTAATAAAATAATAGTTCTTAGGTCTTATACCCAGGCTTATATGATATTGATAGTTAAATCCTTAGTTCCTATCTTATCACATCTATCTCTTGAGACTATTAAGTTTATAAGAGACTTATTTTACTTGAATATAGAAGAAGAGATGGGTCTTAGGTTTTTTGAAGTAGTTGTAGTAAAGAGTATAATAGTATTTTATTATAAAATATATATAGAAAATAACTTAGAATATATAAAGAGCTCATTTTCTTAGGTCCTAGTGATTTTTTATATAGTTACTCTTTACTCAGTATAACTCATACTTTGCATCATGTGGACCTTATAACTTACAACTGTGAGTCATGTAAGATTCCTCAGCAGACTTCTATGAGTTGCTATACAACCTTCTTACAACCAATCAAAACATAATAACTAAGTCAGTTGAGTAACTTGTATCACCTGAGTGAAATCCATGACTTCTAATCTGAGTCATATATGAAAGTCATAGTATTATATAACCCACAATTGTAAGTTATGAGCAGGTAAACATAATAACCTATAACTTACTATTACTTGTTATATAAAATCTTCCTAACTCTTATTAGAGTTAGATATAAAATCCAACATACCTATAGCTCAAAATCCTGAGGCATATGAAATCTGCCTTACTTAGTTACTATTTGTAACAATGTAACTTGTAAAGGTTTCAAGGTTTTTCTAAGATTGATGCCAATGAGATAGGTATTTTTTAATACTATGTCTAAGTATATAAGAAAATTGACAGTCCTGAAAAGTACCTGATTGAATAAGGTAATCAAGTTGTTAATCAGTTGTATCAATTTGGAACTGAAGAGAGAAGAACTCAGAGATAGATGGAGGAAGAGATATTTTTAAAGAGTTGTAATTTAATCATTAAGTGAGGTAGAGTTGAGGTAGATAAGAAATATTGTTTGAAGATTAAAAGAGGATTTAGTTGTTAAGTGAGATCTAATTCTCTTAAGAAGAGAATATTAACAAATTTATTAGTAATCTTTCTTAGTAATATAGAGCAAAAGGAGTCCCCCACAAGCACTAGGAGAATATTGGAAAGTCACATAAAAACTGCAATATTCAAACAGTTTAGGGACCAAAGTGAGAAGATTACTAGTAGCTTGAAGCAGCTTAGCTGCTCAACTACTTAGTGGACCCCACTTCCTGGTGTGCTGAAAATCTGAATCTGAGGGGATTCGAACCCACAACCTTAAAGTAATATTATAGGAAACGAGTCAGCTTACAGTGGGGGGGCAAAAATACGTTCACATGTCAGTGGTTGCTACCTACCACTAAAATGTAAGCATATTTTTGCCCCCCCGACTAAACTAACTAACTAGACTATGGGAGGACTTAGACTATATTCTGATCCCAGTATTATAAATCTACACCATAGCTTGTAATGCATGTGATATTTCTGTACTCTAAAAACAATAAAAATTCCCCTACACTGTACGTACAGTACCCATAGTACTCCTATACCTTTTCCTTCAAGTTGTTTTGTAGTCAGAATTGCCGACTGTGCTATAACCGAGCTTTCAAGTTCAAGTTCTTGGTGGTGAGAATCGCCCACCGTGCTGTAACCGAGCCTACTAGTTGCATATCATACCAGCAAAAAGTTTTTTTGCCCCTATCCTACATCTGACCCGCCGTAGAAGGGGCCCCCTAGGAATCCAGGGTTAGGGCTCAGCGTAACAAACCTCAAGACGGAAACGCGACACCACGCGCGACCCCACCAGCCTCCTTGTGTAAGAATAATGCGCTACACCTCTGATTTCTTGACTCCGAAGACTCCGCAAACTACAAGTACACATGGAGCCTTCCACGCTTGATGTCATACCGTCTTCTGGCCCAGCACCTGCTCCCTCCTCCTCTTCTCGCAAGAGGAAGCGCGAGGGTGAGAAAGTGGTTCTTGGGGATTCTTTCGTTATAGGGGTGCGCACGTTCCCCATATGCTGTACCCTTTGGTATTCTCTGAGTTCTGACAGTTCGTCTCATACCATAGCCATACTCTTCATCTGTATTTGATTCCTCTCTGAAGCTCACTCCAGCCGTTGCTCTGTCCCGCTCTTTCATACCATTGCAATGGCTTGCCGGAACACCCTCACGTCTTTTCTCCTTTGCGAATAATCTGCCGGTGCTAGAGGTTCCGGGGAAGATACTGGTAGCAAAGGTTGACGGAGAGAGGCAGTTGGCTGCCGTGGAGAAGGTTCAGGATGGGGTATACGCTATTTTTAAACTGTCAACACAATTGAAAATGAGGGATGTGAGGAAAACTGTGGCATTGGCGAGAAAGGCCCCACATGTGCCTCCGAATTTGGAGTTTGATGGAGTTGGAGACGGGCGATTGGGCGGTGAATGGTGGTCTCACTTGAGGATTAGCGATTACACAGTGAAAGACTTGCTATCGTCACCGGATCCTGTTGGCACTTTGACCATGGGTTCCCCTGATTCCGAAGCTCTTCGGAGTAGCCAGGCATCGCTGTTGGTCTCTGTTATCATTTGCCGTGTATAGTGAATGCTGATGAAAATTTTATTCGACAGACAAGCTCCAACCAGGGCACTGCCCCCTCCCTCGCCGACTATTGAGGCGTTGACAAAAGAGTCTGCGTCACCGACGCTGTCTGATATTCTTGAAAATACGAGGAAACAGTATTTCAAAACTCTTTATATTGCAAAAGTAAGGAATCAGTCTGGGCTTGGGGTCTTCATATACTGATTAATGGTACCCGGAAGACGTCACTCGCGTACTTTGCGAAATCAACTCTGTCTCGCGCTCGAGTTGCTATGCGTGGCGGCTCTTCGGAACTTTCTACGGTACCTAGCGGAGAATTAATCATTTTCTTACAGAGTATGCTTCTTCCTTTCGACAAAATGGACCTCAAGTTCCGTAGTATAGTCCCCCGAATGGCTCTGGAGGAGAAGGTTCAAGAAAATGAAGTGCTGCGTGCCGGCGAGGAAGAGTATGTGCAACTGTGGAGAAGTGCCTCGTTTCAGGATAGATTAGTGCGGGCTAGCGACCAATGGTTGAAGAGGAGAGTTGAAGAGCTCAAAATTCGGGAGTATGCATGCGCGCACATGTCCAATCATTCTTTTTTTGCCTGCTGACCACATCGTAGAACTGAGTTGCAAATTATTCTTTTGCTCGAGATAATGTCTTTGCAACTAGGCCAAGTTACACCAACAGATGGGGATGGAAGCAAAGAAATGACGTCTAAAAAAAACAAGAAATCCACGAAACGCAACGGTAAAAAAAACACTAAGACGGATGCGCCTAATTATCCTCTACTACTCGACTTGCTGGTTGACCGCCTGTGTATCTGGAGGTCTGTTGGTTCAGTATCCGAAGGGCCCGAAGAAGAATCAACGCAGCAAAAACTCATTATGGATAAAGAACATGACCACCTCAGGCATTTTTGTGTCGAGGTTGTGCTTGCATTGTATGAGCATCATATATTCCACAATGGGGATGACAAGCTAACGGTTGAAAGTTATGCCTCTAAACTCCCAGAGGAGTGCAAGTCAATCAACAAAAAATGCGGGGGTCGATCAGCCTCGTCAACTGCTCACAGCAATAAAGATGCGTCCAACTCGAATAAAGATAAACGAAAACTTATGAGGAAAACCCCAGGATTTGCTCGCTCTATTACTGCTCCGGCTGCCCCTAATGCTACCCGAGAGGCAAGTGTGGATACTTTGGCTGCCCTCGTCGCAGCTGATGCAGCATCTGTGTCAAAAACCAACATGCGTGGAGGAACTTTGAATTCCAAGAGCTTTGTCAAGAGACAAGTACAGATCAGCTCGAAAGCGGTACAAAAGAAGAAAGTGGATGAAGAATTAAAGGATGCAATTAATGCCTTGAAAAAGCCAAACCGAATTGCAGTTGCAGCTGATATTGTTGAGGATGCTAGAAAGCGACTTACAACTGGCTCCAATAGAAGTATAATGCCTTTGACCTCTAAGAGATATTCCCTTCGCTGACTCTCCAAAGGGCCAAGAAAAGTTCCCGGGAATCCGTTGGCAAATGTCCAGGTTATGGCAACCCCGAAGCGCAGAAGAACAGCAAAACCCCAGCCAAGCCTTCCACCTCTGCCCGAAGATGAGAGTGATGCTGCGCCACAAGATGACTTACCCGAAGTCGCAAATCCAAAAACGCAATTCGAAGTTGCAAGCACGCCGATCCGCCCCTTACAAAAGCACCGGATGATGGAAGAAGATGGTGTCCCATCTACTAGCCCCTTTGAGGCGCCCGAAGATAATGCACCGAGGCTTTCCTTGAACTTTGCCAAAAACATGTTTGTCACTCCTAAGAAGCCAAGATCGATGGGTACCGACCTTGGAGCTGGCAATTCCATTGCTTTGGCTACGCCGAAGAACAACAGCGGGCTTTCCCGCTCCCTTTCGTGCTCTGTATTGGACACTAAGCCTGTACAGACTCCTGGATCCTCACCAGATGGCGGTGTCGGATTGTTTGGCTCCATACACGAAACCCCCATCAAGCGGACTCTGTCGGCAGGTGCTTCTGGTGGAGATGGGGAAATCTCCATATATGATAGTTTGGGGTGGAATGATGATTATGAACTGTAGCGTATGATTTTTCTGTCTACTGCATTCATAGATGGTGGGTTTCAATGCATTGCATGTGGAGTTTGCATGTTTTCGCCTTCTTCTTTTCTGTATGATGAGAAAGTCTACAGTTGAGTAATGCTAGCACTTGTATCTAGTGCCCTGGAGTCCGAAACTCGAATTTATATATATACTCGTCCACGTTCTCATATCGGCGAAAGCGCGCACGATTTGGGAAATCAACACCTCCGCCATAATGATAACGCCTCTGGGAGCGAGAGTGCCTAGGGCATCGGGGCTCTTCAGGTATGACATGTAAATGCTGGGGAATATCGTAAATCTAATGCACGTATATCGATATACACGTATTTCCTCTCAACCAGTGACCGCACCCAATTCTCACTGCAGCATTTTTACTTTTTCTGTAGTAGTCCTAAACTCCTGATGTCCGCTTCTCCCTCTGGTTTCCGGGTATCGAAATTCGGATCCTGCTTGAGCCGGCGGTTATAGGCGGCCTTTATCGCTTGAGTTTTCCGAATCTATTTAGGGGAGTCAGATGGCCGCAGCTCAATCTCTGTGTAATAATTCAGGTGGCTCCAATTTTCGCTCTGGCCCACAAACCTCCTTCTTGTGATGGAGACATTCGTAGTAATCATCTCTCTGCGGAACACATTTCCATTTGCCTTCATCGCTCGTCGTGGTCCCAGTGTTCACCACATAGCAGGACAACAGGTCCTGCCAAAAAGGAAAACACTTGAGCATAATATCAGCGCGAGATCCAAGGCTGTACGGAGGGGGAGGGACAGGCATACCCTACTAACACCTATAATCGACAGCGACAATTAGCCTCTAATCGTCACAATGTGGGGTGGAACCACTGATGATCCCTTCCCTAGCGCAAGTATCAACCTACCACCATCGAGGCCATACCCAGAAGCCATAGTGGAACAGGATTCGCGATGAAGGAAGTGGCTCTTCAAAGTGGAGAAGAAGACTTCTTGATGTCTGGATGGATTGATCGGTCGGGTTAAACTGATGATGATGTGGGGGAGTGAAGTTGGCTTGACGCTCTAGCCGAGCTGCAGGTTCTAAGCTTGGCGCTTCCTCCCGCCGTGGCGTCACAGGTCATGCTTAACATCGCATCAGCCTTTCCCCAGCCTCTCTCGCTTTTGATAAAGTCAACACCCTGACCGACCGCTACTAACTTCTCTCCTCCTCAACCACCACCCAAGCCACCTCTTCTCGCCCTTTTTTTTCTTTCTATTTTGCTTCCTCCAACTCTCATCCCCTCGCCTTCCAGATAGGGTAACCTTAAAACGACCGAGACGATCATGAAGCTTTCTACCCTTCCTCTCGTATCGTTGCTCGCGGTATCCGTGTCCGCGGGCAGCCTATTCCAACAGCTCGCTGGGAACCAAATTTCGCCGGCGGGCGAGTCCAGCTCGATTCCTGGAGATAATCCTCTGAGATACTGCGATGAGGACCATTCCCATGATGTCCTTACCATCGAGAAGGTCGACTTGGTCCCCAATCCGCCCCTCCCGTATGCTATGCCTTTGCTTCCTCCTCCCCTATCTCCCCCCCGGCGTCTATCTGGTTGCTGACAAAAAAAAACTCATATCTAGTGGTCAACCACTTACTATTAAGGCCGTTGGCGTGCTCAAAGACGTCGTTGAAAAGGGTGCCTACGTAGTGGTTTCTGTCAAATATGGCCTCATTACATTGGTCAAGGAGACACTGGATCTCTGTGACCATGTCAATGAAGTCGACCTCGAGTGTCCGATTGACCGGGGGAGGCTAATACTAACCAAGGTGGTTGATATCCCCAAACAAATTCCTCCCGTAAGTTTCTCCCTCCCAGACTTTACAATGTACGCCCACTCTTACCGATTCCCTCGCTAACAATAAACATCTTACTAGGGAAAATACACTGTCAGAGCCGATGCAGGTCTCGAAGATAATACGCCCCTGACCTGCCTGACTGGAACCATCATATTTTCCCGTTAAATTTCCACCTCTCTTACCCCGTTATGAACAATAAATTCAATAAATGCCCATTACGGATGACCACACAATCACCAAAGGAGGACGGGTTGGATAAGGGACGGGTTCTCACGCCGAATCTCAATCAACAAGTTTTTTCTTAACAATGCGGACAAAGGATTAATTTTGGGGAGGTTCTTGCTGTCTTGTTTCATGCTATGCTGTTCCGGCCGCTTCGCACTTTACCTCTGCCTGTCTGTTTTGTCTCGTGCTTTCTGCTCGCCTGTCTGTTTGTTTCTTTTTTGATTAAAGCCTTGACGTTGTAGTCGTGCTCGTAAATTCAAATTGCTTCTACAAAACGGTGCATCAAGACACCTACCAATGTGTCCATTTTGTTCCCCCCCCTTCCTTCTCTATCATGAACGATTCCGAAAAGCGCCCTTTTCTGTGCACGATGAGCCGGGTTAAATTGGCCACGCCTGGTGAGGAGAAGAAGATTACTACTTGTATTCGTACTCGTACTGTCGATTACCGGTGCCTGTACGGTACTCGTACAGTAAGCTACGGTAATGCAAGAACGATAACAGTACATCATATTTTTGAAAATATGAGTGTTGGGTATGACTATAATAATTATAAAATAATGAGTCCTAAGACTTAAATACTCTAGCGATCCAGTTTCCATGTAACCCTTAACGTATGCTGCTGCCCTTATGTTTATAGTCACATTGTATGATGTAAAAACTACCGTAGCATCCACCACCAGTACTATCATACATAACTTACAGCCTCATTCTACCGGTTTCATAGTAGATTCTGTTTCATTACCTAAGCCCTACTGTTGTATGATATCATACCCGAAAATATGTCAAAAAAATATAGCATTTTTTTTTTTTCGGTGATCAAACCAAACACCCCCTCAATATAAAAGTTCTAGATGGAGAAATTTATGCTATAAAAACCACTTTTATGGCATAAAGGTGGCATGCCAAACAGGGCTTTAGTTTTTTTTTTCTTTTTTTTTTCCCACGCTTGTATGATATGATACCTTGCGGCGTTGCGAGTGGATGCTATCATACGGTTGGGTAGGGTAGGGTAGGGTAGGTTGGCGATGAGAGGAAGAAGACACCTCTCCGCGTTTGTGCCAGGGACCGCGGCATCACACGGTAGTCTAGCACGGTGTTGTGATATCGCTGGGGTTGTTAGGGACTTCCTGATAACCACATGCAAGAAGCAGTCTAGACAAATGTGAGGAGGTACGAGGAATGGTATGGATTGGAAAGAATGTAGCCACCAGATGGGTAGACTATCTGGTCGTGGGTTAGATTGGAATGAGGGATGGTATGGATTGAAACGGTTAACAATTCTTGCTCACTCAAACGACCATATACCCCCCCCCCCCAACAAAAGTACCTAACTGAATTCTCCTCTCTACTCCACCTAAACTCTCTTTTCTACTTCACACTGGCCCCTGCGCAAAGGGGCTGCTGCTGTGATACCCGTGTCATATGATATCATACCGTAGACTATTACTTATCGAGTGACGGCGGGTGACTTGGTCTGCTTTTTAGTGCTACTGTACAGTACTCGTACAGTACGGTAGTACCGGTACAGCCGTTGCTGTTGTCCAACCGTGTCCGGGGAATCTACCGGTATACTTGTGCCATGCCATTGCATAAACCATCGCGTTCCGTCTCAGTTCTTTTAATTTTATTTGGTCAAGAACACCGTCCCACATGTACCGTACTCGAGCGGATTACCTACCGCCGTCTTGTTCTCGGAACACTCCGGCGCTTCCCATGTTCGAAGTGGACGGTGGGGCACGACGGCTGCGGCCCACGCCATCCTTATGCATGCCATCTCTCTTCCCCAATAAGCTCAGCATGACTAAGGACGACGACAGCGAGTGCAGCGATGAGGCTCTGCAAGGACTTCAACTTCACGGCAGTGATACGGCGTGATATGTACTCGTACGAGCAGTTTTAAACCATAGGCTGTTTCGGTATGTAAATTTCGGAAATATGCAATGAGACCTTTTCCTCCCCCCGCAAGTGATTTTGTAAATAGTTGTGCCTGACGCCAACAGTGATTAATGAACAGGAAACAGGCTGCACGGCCAGTGAAGTTGAGAATGACAATAGAAGGAATGGCAAGTCCAAGGCTGTCTTGGAAGAGCCTACATGATGATAAACAGAGGACTTTGTTACCTTGCCCTTATCCCACCATATATGCAAATAATTGGACCCCAGAAAGGAAAGCGTGGAAAGTGGAAAGGATGGGGATGGAAAGAAAGCAGGCTTGTCTTTTTTTTTTTTTTTTTTGATAGCCTACTAGCCGTGAGAGTTGGGCTTGTGGGGGGGTTTGGTATTGGACTGTCTTTGAGAGATTCTTGGGCCGAGTCTACGGGAAGTGAAACAGGGATATACAACGGGCAGTTAATCCGCGGCATCGTTGGTGAGCGAAAGGTACACTGTCCAGGCGATTCCAACGGTCGAGGCAAAAGGCTGCAGATATAAAAGGTCAGTTTGCTTGCACCGCGTTGGGTGAAATACGGTTCCAAACTAACCAGCTGGAGCGAAAGAGGAACAACTCGGAAGTTTAGTATTTGAACAGCTGGCCATAGAATATAGTTGGATTTCCTAAGGATCATTTGATAAGCCAGGGTATTTAGGGCAAGCGTGCAGAAGGGTGCATACAAAGCGGAAAGGTAAACCATATCGAACTTTCGAATGACGGCCTTCTTTCCACCTCCCTCCGCCAGGGTCATATAGGTGAAGAAGACTGCGAGGGCTAAAACGCATAGACACGATTATTGGGATAGTTCAGTGTGGAGTTCTCAAGTATACAACTTACAGATAGGAGAGAAGATGAGTTGATCAATGGCTACACGCCAGAGAGCCGGTGCGGTTCTGCTGGTTGGCGTAATGGGGAAGGTATCCGAGAGAAACCCGAACCATTTGAATAGCAACGGCGCAATAAGGAAACCTAGAGGGTATAGGGTTAGAGATTGTTTACTTTGCTCGAAACCTTCCGTCACATAGCATACCCCATGCCATATATCTCACCAACCGTTCGAAGTCAAGGGGCGGTGGTGTGCTGGTCAAGAGTTCCGCTCGATGGGTGGGTAAGGGTCCCTTCTCGTTCAACTCGTGGATCTCTATTGAGATGCTATCCTTCTTTCCGAGGTCCCGAGGTCTGCGGTTTTTAGCCCGTATGGTGGTGGCGGTTTGGGCGATGGTGTCTGCCACTCCGTTCAGCAACTGGCATAACGATTCCACTATTAGCCTTCAGGTCGAGCTCAAGGGCATCCAGAAAGTCAGGGTCACGCCATTTCAAACGGGAAAAAGGAAAAAAGGAGAAAAAAAGGCACTATACCGAGTTGGTAATCATCATGGTTAATATTGGCTTGGAGCCAAAGTGCAGGTCATATTGCATAGCTACACGAGCTAATCCCGCCACCTCGATAAAGAGCGCAACGACATTAACCAGGGGCTAAGGAAGGATGTTAGCGATGATTGTAGGGATGCGATGGGGCGAGGGATTCCTTACCACGCGGCCACAGATATGGTAGTTTCGTGCTGAGCGGATCAAACGAAGGCGGTCCGACGATGCCATCTCGATGAAGGAAGATGAGGAAAGGGGCTGTCTTTAAGGTTGGCGAGGGGTTTGGGGGGGGGCTTAAGGGATGGGAAGGAAAGGGTATAGGTGGCGTTTAACGGGAAGGGGGAAGAAGGGGCTGCGATGGGAGGAGCGGCAGTAGGGTTATCGCAACGATGCGGTAGGGGTATCGATGTCGGATGGCAGGCGAGTCTGATATGTTGAGTTCGTGGTGCCGGTCAAGGCTGGGGCCGGAAGCTGGGTATGATGTGGGCGGGGGTCGAGTGATGAGGTGGGATGGCTGTGGTGGTCTATATGTGGAGGAGGAGGGGGCAAGATGAGGCACTGGTGCCGTAGTGATGCGAGGAGAATATGGGTTCTGTGGTATGATACAGGTACCGGTACTGTAATGTACCGTACTACCGGTAGCACTCGAGAACGAGCACGGTCAGGGTACCGGTGCAACCTCTCCCTCCCTGGGCACCCGGAAAGCGAGAGAGAAGGGAGAGGAAGAGGGGAAAAGAGGGGAAAAGATGGGAAAATATATATATATATAAAAGACGTGAAAAAATAGGAATAAAAATGGAACGACAGCTGGGCCTTTTGACGGCGGAGGCACGGCACGGTACGGTATCGTACAGCGCCCATAGTCTACTCGTACAGTTCTGTGCCGACAACGACTAACGCAGGATCTGTCCCATTCCGGCACGAAAAGCCAGATCTGATCCGATAAACCGTCCGGACTGTGGCTGATGCCCTTACCTTCGTGCAATAGAATGGGAGATCTGATAAGTTTCCAAGCCCTGATTGGATGGCGTGGGAGATTTTCATTTTTAGCTTAGGGTGCTTCCTCCCTCCCTCCTGTCGGCCGCTGTGTAGACTAGGTTGGGTCTTTTGTTGCCTCGTTGCTTTGCCTCTGCCGCCGCTGCTCTTCACACACCCCAGTCCAGCCCGTTCCTTCGCTCCCTTCCCACCCCAACACCCCCAAAAAAGACACCCCCCCCCAGATTGGTGGTTCTCCCTTCGTCTACCCATCACCCCCACAGCTCTCCCGCTACACGATCTTCATCACCCACTGCATCCACCTCTCCCACCACCACCACCACCCTTCTCCAATAACCACCTTCTCCTCTTTTATATCGAACATTGTTTTTTTTTCCTTTCAATAATATCGCCTTTTCGGGGCCAACGTACTCATGGCTTGTAAGTCTGCTCGTGTCTTTTTCGGTCCGCGTTGTTGCTGCCCTATTTTCCCCTGGTCATCCATCCTATTCCCGCCGCTCGCTCTTTTGCCCACTCCGAACACCACCCTTTAAATCATTCTCCTGGCCCACTGAGGTCTGTGGAAATGTGTCGGATGCTTTGCCGAGTCTGTCGCCGTTATGTTGCTTCGCGTGCTCTTGTTCCCTTTCCATGTAGCCTTGCGGTGACCCCTTTGACCCCCCGGTACTTTCCATCGCGGGCCATCGTCAACATCGGGTCCTGCATCCCCGAAGCATCGTAGGCACTCATCTCGGGCCTCTATACCATTGATGGACCCCTCATTTTGGTCGCCTCATTCGCCGTGACCTGCCTCAGCTTTCCGCTTCTCCCTGCCCCGTTTTTGGTCCCATTACTGATGCTGGCGCTCGAATACAGCAGGTAGTGTGAGCTTAGCCTCACCTCCGGCCCTCCTGACATCTACCACGACACATCCGGATCCTGTATACACCAATGGCAATGATACCTTGTCACCTGCGAGCTCCTCGCCAAGTGAGGGACCGCTGTCCGACGTTGAGGAGGAGGATGTGGGAGCCCAGCAAGAATCCATCTCTACTCCCGAATCTGGGGATCGGGACGAGGTGGTTTCGAGCGCCTCATCTGACGAGGGCGATGATGGTGGCCAATCCGAAGATGGGGACTACGAGATAGAGACCCCAGCGGAAGAACCGGCCGATGACCATAACGATGACTCTGACGACTCAGACATTCCTGTCAAGAATGCCGGGAGTTTGAGGCGAGCGGCGAAATCGAAGCCCATTGACGACTTTCACGAGAACCCAGACCTTTATGGCCTGCGTAGGAGTGTGGGTTACATGCTACTGCTATTTTGGTGAAGCATAGACTGACCAATTCATTATAGGAACGTGCCCGCCCTGCTGCTCGTCCAGTGGTATGTGCTCAGACATTGCAGCCCATGTAGTCGTGTGTCTTGTAGCTTTCGGGGGGGGGGTTTGCTAATAACTTGGATAGGTTGATACTACTTCCGATTCGGATGACTCGGAGCCCAAGAGCAACCGCAAGAGGCGGAGAACGATGACTGCCCCCCGCTCGTCAAAGTGTTAGCTATTTCAATTCAATTATGGAAGGGGGGGAATCAAGCTGACATGCTCCTTAGCTTCCAAGCGTAATACTCCGGCCCTCGGATGTGAGACCGGGGACAGCGACGATGACGAGGACGATTATGGGGTTCGAAAAACTTCAAAGTCAAGGGGCAAGCGTCGGCGCCTTGTGGTTTCCGATGCGCCCTCGGCCGATGGTCTCCGGTTTTCCACTCGCAAGGCGGCCAAAATTACCAGTTATAACGAAGATGGAGACGATGACTTCGAGGAGGATGACGATGGCGCCATTCCCTACGAATGCGCAGACCTGGGCGCAGATGTAGGGGGCATTGATTCGATACTTGATCATCGGCCTCGTGAGGGCATAGGTAGGCATTCCTGGGAGCTTGTAGGTGATTATGGCTAATGCTGGCAGTGGGCTCAACCGATCCGGTCATGGAGCGAGGAGAACTCGAATTCTATGTAAGTTATTTCGTCCAATTAGCCGGCCACCGCACCTCTTACTGATTTTCATAGATCAAATGGCAGGGATTATCGCATTATCACTCGACTTGGGAGACAGCTGAAGCTCTGGCCGGATGTAAGGGAATTAGAAAGCTCGACAATTACATGAAAAAGGTCGTCCTCGAGGACTACTACGCCAGGACCAACCCGCACATCACCAGGGAAGAGGTTGAGAACATGGCCCTGGAGCGTGAACGATTACGTGAATCTCTTGCGGAATTTGTTCATGTGGAGAGGGTCATTGGAGACCAAGTCAATGAAGAAGGAAACCAGGAGTACATGATTAAATGTGAGTTTGGGGTGACGTCGAATCCTCTCTCAATAGATGCTCATTGCCCCCCCCCCTTTTTTTTGATACAGGGAAGCGACTTGCGTATGAAAATTGTACCTGGGAGAGCGCCGAGTTGATCGCAGAAATCGCCCCTGTTGAAATTGACAAACACCATGCCCGTGAAAAGACCCTTCCATATTCGAAGAAGTCTGAGAGCGATGTGAAGACCCGCCGGCCCTACAAGAAGCTCGAGGGCCAGCCCGGTTACATCAAAGGGGGGGAGTTGCGTGATTTCCAAATGAAGGGGTTGAACTGGCTGGCTTATAACTGGACCAATGGCAACAACGGAATACTGGCAGACGAGATGGGCCTTGGGAAGACGGTCCAAACGGTCGCCTTTATGAGTTGGGTAGGTAACCAATTGTGCTGCTCTGTCCCGCCTGGTTTAACTCTGTCTGACGCTTCTTTAGCTCCGCCATGACCGTCATCAACATGGACCATTCCTAGTTGTCGTGCCCTTATCTACGGTACCGTCGTGGGCCGAAACCCTGGAAAATTGGGCACCGGATATCAATTTTATAGTTTACACGGGGACGGGAAAAGCGCGTGAAGTAATCCGCAAATACGAAATGTTTGCGGACCCTGGAATGGCGAAGGTTAAGTTTAACTGCATGGTCACCACCTACGAGTACATCCTGAACGACTTCGCTACCCTGGGGAACATTAGGTGGCAGTTTCTGGCGGTCGACGAAGCTCATAGGCTCAAGAATAAAGAATCTGCCCTATATGACAAGCTGAATGTCTTTAAAGCCCCTTGCCGTCTCCTGATTACCGGAACCCCATTGCAGAACAACTTGAAGGAGTTGGGAGCATTGGTCGATTTTCTCATGCCTGGTAGAATAAGCATAGACAATGACGTTGATCTTCAGTCCAAGGATGCCGGTCGACAGATTGAGCAGCTACAACAGGCTTTGAAACCTTATATGCTCAGGCGTGTTAAGAAATCAGTTGAAAAATCGCTGCCCGGGAAAACAGAGAAGATTATTCGAGTCGAGCTTTCTGATGTCCAGACCGAGTACTATAAGGCGATCATCACCCGCAATTATGCAGCCTTGAATGCTGGCGCGACAGGTCCAAAACAATCCTTACTTAATATCGTCATGGAATTGAAGAAGATTAGTAACCATCCATTCATGTTCCCTCCTGCCGAGCAGCGTATCCTCGGCGGTAGCAACAAGCGGGAGGATGTGTTGAAGGCATTGATTATGAGTAGCGGAAAGATGGTTTTGTTGGATCAATTGCTCACAAAGCTTAAGGCTGATAATCACCGTGTGTTGATATTCAGCCAGATGGTGCATATGTTGGATATTCTTGCCGACTATCTCAATCTTAAGGGGTTCTCCTTTCAGCGCCTCGATGGAACAATCGCAGCCGGGCCCCGCCGTGTTGCTATTGATCATTTCAACGCACCGGATAGTCCAGATTTCTGCTTTTTGCTGAGTACACGTGCTGGTGGTCTAGGGATTAACCTGATGACCGCAGATACTGTCATCCTTTTTGATTCGGACTGGAATCCTCAGGCTGACCTGCAAGCTATGGCCCGTGCTCATCGTATAGGCCAGAAGGCACATGTAATGGTGTATCGATTGGTATCAAAAGGTGATTGTTCCGTCACTGGCTTTTTTCTTGTCATGGCTAACATTTGTGGATAGATACAATTGAAGAGGAGGTCTTGGAGCGTGCCCGAAACAAGATGATTCTTGAGCACTTGGTTATTTCGCTTGGTGTCACTGATAAAGGCATTACCGATAAAGTCAAGAAGAAGACGGATCGATTAGAGTCGGCCGAACTTTCAGCCATCCTCAAGGTAAGCCTTTTGCTGGCCTTTCTTTCCACGACCAGTGTGATCAATGTTTCTGCCATAGGCTCGTGCATCGAAAATGTTTGAGGCTACCGATAACCAGAAGAAATTGGAGGAGCTCAAAATTGATGATATTCTTCTCAATGCCGAAGATCACATCACCCAAATAGAACCTGGCCTAGGTGGTGAGGGGGGGGATGAATTTCTCAAGCAGTTTGAAGTAACCGACTTCAAGGCCGAAGTTTCGTGGGACGATATCATCCCCAAGGAGGAATTGGATGCTATCAAGTCCGAGGAACAGAAGGAGGAGGCATGTTCAACCTGACAAAAATAACCACTCTTAATATTTCTAACGTCTTCATAGGAGCAAGCGTTTTTGAAAGAGCAAATTGATATGAATGCGAGACGGAAACGGAAGTCGGCCACAAATGGGGAATTTGAAGGACGGTCAGCTAAGAGGCGAGCCAAGGAGCTTTCCGCAGCCCATATCGACAGTGAGGACGATGAGCCTGAGAAGGACCCTCATCGACCTCTCACTGGACCCGAAATTAGAAACCTCTATCGAGCCTACGCCCGATATGGCTGCCTTGAGCAGTGCTGGGAACAGATCATTAAAGGCTGCGGATTGGAGGACCGTGACCCAGGCTTGGTTAAGACAGCTATCGCCGACATGACCCAAATTGGTGAGGAGGCAATCGCTCGTCAACGCGCTATTGACGATGGCACCGGGAAAAAGTCAAAACAGGCCATCTTGTTCGCCTATAAGGGATGTCCAAACATCAATGCGCAAACAGTGGTCGAGAGACCTAGGGAATTAAAGGAGCTCCGGAGAGCTGTTGCATCGTTCAGCGAGCCCTTGAAGTTTCGGATTGAGGATGTCAAACCAGTGCATAATTGGGCTTGCGAGTGGGGTACTCGTGAAGATGCCATGCTTTGTGTTGGCATCGCTAGACATGGCTATGGGAGTTGGAATTTGATCCGTGACGATCCTGAGCTTGGGATGGGCGACAGATTCTTCCTGGAGGAGCATCGCGTTGGAAAAAAGGATGAGGCGGCAAAATCCCCTGGAGCTGTCCATCTTGTCCGCAGGGCAGACTACTTGCTTGGAGTAATGAGAACTCGGTTTGGAGCCGCTGTTACCGCGGCACCTCCCACGAGCAGACATAGGAGATCGCCGGATACCAATTCTCGCCAGCCGCAAAAGAGGAATGGGGCTTCTGCGGTCGATAGGGTTAGTAAAAAGGATCGTGTCTCTTCATCAGCTTCACCCGCGCCGCCTAGGAAGTATAAATATCAAACCGTTGATTCAAGTGAGAAGCACCGCACTGAGAAGCACCGTCCCGAAAAACGCCGTTCCGAGACGCATCGCCCTGAAAAGCGTCGCCACGAGGAGAAGGGACGTTATCAGGACAAAGTCCGCCATGAGGAGAAGGAGCGCTACCAGGACAAAGCCCGTTATCAAGAGAAGGGGCGTAGCCAGGACAAGACTCTCGTTTCCTCGAAAAAGCGCAAGAGCGATAGCCATGAAGCCGACAGCGCGAGCCGGAAAAAAGCCGGGTCGCCCCCGCCCCCCAAGACCAATGTGAAGGGCAACGGACATGTCACCGAAGTGAATAGGCCATTGACTGCTGAGGAATCCATGGCTGAGGTACTTCCTTCCTTCCCTCCTTGCCTTTCATTCGAACCGGGCTAATGAAACTATAGAGTAAACTGCGCCCTGTCCGTCGCAAATTGGAAGCTCTTGAGCATGTCAAGGAGCTCCAGAAAACGGATAGACTTAAGGTTCTGAAAGAAAATCTCCTGGCAGTTGGCAAGTTTATCAACAAGATTGAGAGAACTGAGAAGGCCGAGAAGAACCTTCATCAAAATCTTTGGTAAGATATAGTTTGAGATAGGCCTAGGAGATCCTTGCTGACTGTGTCTAGGTATGTCGTTTGGCGCTTTTGGCCCCACCATGAGAAGCCATGGCAGGCGCTGGCAGAGTTTTCTGCCAAACTGATAGAGAGCGAGCGGGCCGAAAGGGCGGCGGCGGCGGCGGAGGCAAATTCAACGTGATGGGTTGGAGCGGCGGCGGAACTGGGCCGAACTAGGTTCATGATTCCTTCATTCTTGTCTATAGTTCTAGGGTGTTGGTCTTTTTCTTTTCTTTTTTTCTTGTCATATCTCTCTGTTCTTTTATCCCTTTACCCCCCCCTTCTTACATGCTCCTAACTTCTCTCTCGTGGTCCTTTCAATGGCGCTTTCTCTCTTTCTCTCTTTCTCCCTCCCGCTCCCACTCCTTCTCCTTCTCCTCTTCCCCTTTCCCATTATATCTACATATCTGAGGGCATAGCAAGCGAACTCAACGGCGTCATGTGAAAATTTTGTGGGGTTAATCCTTTGTTTTACTTTGTGGGTGTATAGTGGGTCTCGGGTCGGTGCGATTTGTCTTTTATTATTGTTATTACCACCGTTTGAATCTCAATTTCATAGGTTGCGGTTTCTTATTCCCTCTTCTAGGTCAATTATTCATTGTATTTTTTATCTTCTTCTCCCTTCTCTACTTTTCCTTTAACGTCCGGAAATAGCGGTGAAAGGTCGTTGGGATCTCTAACGAATAGCACCGGCAAAAGTGATGACAGGAGGCGCAATTTGGGGGCGGTATGCTGTATTTTACGAGAGGGAGAGGTGGATGAGATGAGATAAGATGAAGCAGAAAACAAGGAAAGGTAATGCGGACGAGGATCATGGAAGGGAAGGGGGGGGGGGGGGGAGTTGTAGAACGCAGTTGGAGTAGACCATCTGCATAGAAAAAAGGCACTTCAACTGAAATTACCTTTTTTTATTTTTTATTTTTATTCGAGCAATGGTTTACGGTGGTGGCGGTGGTTGGTTTGAGGTTATTATCATCGCGGTCTTCTACCTGTATTATATGCCAATTAAGTTATCGTTTTTCTTTTTGGCTGTTGCTTCTCTGTCCCTTTCTCCTCTTTCTCTCCCCCTCCCTTCCAGCAGGGAGTTTTAAATATGGCTGTTTTTGCCCGGCTTAAAAATTTAATAGAGGTGGAGGTGATGATGTCCGGGATGTTGTCACGTGTGTTGTGTTGGAAGAACTGTTGATGAATGGGATAGGGGACGCGTTCTCTTAGAGTACTGTGTGATACTACGTGATGGGGCTACACCGGACCACACTGCTGGTACTGTACCACCCTGTACAGTACAAGTACGTTAATTAATGTGACGGGCGGTAATTGTCGGGATTAATCAGTACTACAGTACAATACTCGTACAATGGTATTATACTCGAGTACTTGTATGATACTGCACCTAGCCATGCGTTTACTCCGGGGTTGCACAGTGGGGTATGATGACCTCGGAAGTACCCTTCCTTCCCGCTCCTCCTCCTCCTCCTCCTCCTCCAGCTCCTCCAACCTCCTCTAGCCTCCTCCTCCAGCTCCTCCAACCTCCTCTAGCCTCCTCCTCCCCGTGTCAATCTATCAAGGGGTATTGTATTGGTGGGAAGTAACCGCGCCTGCACGGTACCGGTGCTGTACTAGTACGGTAGCGGTAGCGGTAAACTCTGCTGGTACGAGTACTCGTACAAGTACATACAGTAAGCCCCAATCCGGTGCAGTTCCGTACCGGTATTCCTACACCGTGCAGTCACAACCAGGGAGGGGACTCAACTCCCTGACTTCCCCACAAAAAAAGGCCCCAATCACATACGCGCACTCACCCACCGTGCACGGCTATTGACGGCTCAATCAACAACGCTCCCAGTGGCCCGCACGGCCTCGGATATACAAGTACTCAACCCGCAACCCGCAACTCGCATATACCATACGTATACTAACTACATCCTTTTCACTTCCACTTCATTTCGATCACATACACTTCACCACCTTTTTTCTTTTTTTCTTTCTTTTTTCCTTTGCCTTTGGAGATAGATATAAAAGAAGAAAAAACGGAATTTCTCGGACGACAAACACCCGGAACCACAAGCCTGGCCGAAGGGGGGCATACTTGAGGAGGGAAGGGAATTAAGGTTTTTTTTTTTGTTTAAAAAAAGTATTGCCGTGTGTGGTTTGATTACTCGGATAAAGAGAGAAGCAGAAGATGCTGTGGGGCAGCACTGGTAGTCGAGGGGTTGTGCGGGCTGGATTTTTCCGGAGCAGTAATGGCAGCAGCAGCAGCAGCAGCAGCAGCAGAGTCCTCCTTCCATTTATTACAACCAGTACAAAATCGTCGTTGTTGGCTGTATCGAGGCTGCCGAGGTCAAGGGGTTTCAAGAATTCTGCTCAAGTGCTCGTGGTGAAACCATTCTTACTAGCGGACATTGGTGAAGGTATGTCAGCTTCCTACCCGTACAGCCACCACAACCAGAAACCGACCAGCCAGCAAACCAATCAACCCCCACGCATCACATATACACCCGAGCACACAATCCCCGGGGAAGAGGGGGTGGACTGGGATTGAAGAGGAAGACTAATGGGCGAATTGGATAAAATGCAGGAATCCGGGAATGCGAAGTTATACAGTGGTTTGTTCAGCCAGAGGCAAGAGTGGAGCAGTTTGATAAACTTTGTGAGGTTCAGTCTGATAAAGCTTCCGTGGAGGTAAATTCCACTCCTTTCTTTTTGTTTCTTTTCGGGAGGGGGGGGCGTTGTGTTTCCCCCTCTTGCGGGTTCCTGATTTACTTGTTGTTCCCGGATAAATGTGGGGGGGTTTGTTGCTCGCACCGGTCGGGCTTCTGGCCGGCCGATAGGTTCGGTTTGCCAGTGCTGTGGGGTGGGAAGGAGAGAAAGGGGCGTTGCTGATCATTTCCCGCAGATTACTTCACGGTACGATGGGGTTATCAAAAGGTTGCATTACGAGGCTGGGGATATGGCGATTGTTGGAAAGGTTACACCTCCCTTGCTGCTGAGCCCCCACCGTCCGAGTACTTCCTTTTTTTTCCTTTTGTAACGCTTACTTTCTACCAAATTGGACTTGTGAAACTAACTGGATTGCGGGAAGTACAGCCTCTCGTCGACATTGACCTTCAAGCCGACATCAACGATCCGGAGCAACTTGGGGAGATGCAAAGCGAGGTCCCTGCAGTATCTGCGGTTCCAAAGCAAGCACCCAAGACACCCGAGGGCGTGAATAGGTCTGGACAATCCTCGACCCCGACGACCATGCCACACGGATCCCTCGCCACACCAGCCGTTAGGCGCGTGACAAGAGAGCATGGCGTGGAAATCACGGAAATTACAGGCACTGGGAAGGATGGACGAGTCCTCAAGGAGGATGTGACAAGGTTTGTCGAGGCCAGGAAGTCTGGTAAGCTGGTCTCGCGGTCGTCGTCGCAACCCAGTGCCCTCCGACCCCCACAAGCACGGGCCGTCTCCCCAAGGGCGGAGACGAAGGTTCCCCTCACGCACATTCAGTCGCAGATGCTGAAAGCCATGACCAAGAGCCTGGCAATCCCACACTTCCTCTACTCCGACGAAATAAACTTCGACCCACTAATCCGGCTCCGCTCCACAATCAACAAATCCCTCAATGCAAACTCGCCGGTGCCAAGGGTGTCCTTCATGCCCTTCGTCATGAAAGCCGTCTCAATAGCTCTGGACCAATACCCCCTCCTCAACAGCCGCCTGGAGTTTGACAGCGATAACAAGCCAGCTCTAGTCATGCGTCCGCAGCATAATATTGGCGTAGCAATGGACACGCCAGCGGGACTTGTAGTCCCCAACGTTAAGGACGTCAGTAGCCTCAGTATCCTAGACATCGCAGCGGAGCTCAGAAGATTGCAGGGGCTGGGTGTAGAAGGCAAGTTAACCCCTGCAGACGTAAGCGGCGGAACAATAACTGTAAGCAACATTGGGAACATCGGCGGAACGGTAGTAGCTCCTGTGATCGTCGTCGGCGAAGTCACGATCCTAGGGATGGGCCGGGCGCAAAAGCTGCCAAGGTTCAACGAGAACGGACAAGTCGTCGCGGAGACGGTTATGAACTTCTCCTGGTCCGCAGATCACAGGGTCGTTGACGGCGCAACGATGGCGAGAATGGCGGCGCTGGTGAGGGAACTGTTGGAGGTTCCCGGGCAAATGTTTGCCAGGATGAAATGATTCACGTCACTCAGTCCCGCCGACCAGCAAAAGTTTCTCCCGAATCGCTAATACGGTAGGCGTCCAATTAATAAGTTACCCCGTTCTCCTCAATGGCACACAAACCACACGCTATCCACCAATCAGACGAGCGAATCATCTAAGCAACCCCCGAGACGATACATATGGTCAATCAATCAAATAGGTAAATAAATGAACAAATAAGTAACCTTATCTCACCTACCCTACGGTATCCACATCCAGCCCCAGTTGCTTCCTCGGCATTACCAGGTCTCCCTTCCCTCCCTCCTTTTTCGCCCCGTTCGAAATCGGTCCTATGACGCAGGTGCTGCAACCGCAACCGCAATCGCCATTGAATCAATCGAGATCTCTATTTTTTTCATCCTATTTTCATCCACCCTTTCCTTCCCGAATAATGTCCCTCGAAGCGAAGCCAATTCCCCAGACCTTTTTCCCTTTCTCTCTTCTTCTTCCCCTTCTCCCTTCCCGAGTCTGCAGCATTCCTCGAACGTCAGTCAGGTGGCCATTCTCCAAACTGTCATCTTCATGGCACTGTGCGGTGCGGGTACCCGGTAGCTTTACCCGCGGCATTGTCTCACGCTGCGTTGCACAGTACTCGTACTTGCAGTCTACACTACTCGTAATCGAACGGCATTAAATTTTGTAAAATATGGCCACTGTTGCATAACCCCAAACCTCAGCTCTTTTCTGCTTAGATCACGGTAATGTAGATCTTATTCTTAGGCTCGTGCGATAGTGGCCGTGCCCACAGGAATATCGTTCAATTACGAGTACGGTTCCGCGCTGTAGCCCACCGCCGCCGGATTGTCCCTTTTCACTTGGATCTGGGTGGTAGTCTATGTACTGTACGAGTACCAGTAACTTAGCGGTTCCTATTTTTTTCTTCCTTGTTTTTTCTTTCCCTTTCTCTTCTCTCCTTTTCTTTTTCCCCTTCCGCTATTTTTATGCTTTTTTGATGTCATGTGATGTGGTTGTGTTGCTTGGATGACGATGGCGATGAGCACGGCATTGGCGAATGATGATTGATAAAAAGTGTCAGCCCCGGGAGAGGAAGGATGAAGAGAAGACCCAGAGATGGAACTTGTGCCTGTTTACACAGTATTTGTTTGTCTGTTTAGAAATAATTACAGTTGAATTGAATTGGACTTCAACAATGATGGATCCCATATTTCCCATTTAGCCTTTTTCCTCCCCCTATCTCTTTTTTCTCCGGGATAGGGAGACAGAGAGAGGATAGGTAGATTGATAGGACAAAGGGAAAGGAGAAAAGAGGAAAAAAGGTTTCCATAAAGAGGCCGGATAGAAATTGTAGCAATAAGCAAAACACCAAGAGAACCAAACAAGAAAGCAGATCCCCAGCCCAATTATGCACACGCTTTAAAAAACACATACTCCAAGAGAAGGAAGAGAAAGGAAGGACAACGGAGGGCGGCAGTTACAAGACAGTAAGGTAAGTAGAGCAGGAAGAAACAGATAACAGGAATAAAGATAGCCACCGTGGAAGATTAAAAAGGGAAAAGAAAAAAACACCAGCCGATAAGGACCGAGTAGAAAAGAGTACCTAGGGAGGAAAAGTCATCATCTCTCCGCCTCCATACACCCCCCGACCCTCTCCATGGTCAAGTTCTGCACGCTGGCTAGGCTCCCGCTGACATCGACGGAGATTACATCCATCTCGCTCTCGTCCGGCTCCTCCAACGCCGTGAACTGGCTATGCACCATGTCGTCCTTCATGTAGTGGTTCTTCCGCGCCTTGACCCTCCTGAGCAGCAATTCCTCGCTGGCGCGGAGGTAGACGAATCGGACAACCACGTCGTCGGCTTCCCGACCGGCAATGCGAATGACATCTCGGTAACGACGCTTCAGGCACGAGCAGGTGACGACGCATCCATCTGCTCCGGATTGCAGTTCCTCGACGGCCTTGTTGCGGAGCGTTTCGAGCCAGTCCCAGCGGTCGTCATCGGTCAAGGGGATGCCATTGGCCATCTTTTCGACGTTGGAACGGGGATGAAACTGCTTGCGCTATTAGCTTGTGGAACCTTTGCGCGGTGGTGGAGAAGGGGGAGGGGGAGGGGAGGGGGGAGCCTACGTCATCACCTTCGATGTATGGTAGGTTAAGACGCTTTGCTAGAAAGTCCGCTACTGAGGACTTTCCGCAGCCGGCTGGGCCCGTTATGATCCAGATGTGTCGGAGTGGTGTCTCGTGCCTTGGTATTGATTGAACTCTCCCCATCGTGTGGATCGCTGATGGGGTGGAGACATAGACTCCTGACTTCTCGTTGTAGGAGAGCATGATGGGCAGCTGTTTGGGGGGGTATATGCAAGACGGTAGGTAGTAGGTCAACGTGGGTAGCTAAGGCAGAGCTCTGGAGGGAGGCAGGATGTGGGAGGAAGGGGTAGAGCCCTTTTGTAGACAAAGAGGTAGGAGGAGTAGGAATTATGCTGTTATGGCGTAATGAGTAGTGCCGGTAAGCTGTTGTCGTGGAAGGAGTGTTCGGTATAGTAGTATTATCAGTGCACAGTTTGATACGGGCGACGGAAACGAATGCGGTCAGAGCAGGTGAAGGTGGGTTAGCAGAAGCTTTAAATACTTCGTCTCACCCCAGTCCTTGGTGAGTGCCACACACTAGGATCGTCCGAAAGGTTGTTAAAAAAGTAAAAAGGAAAGCTCCACTACGAATGCCCGAGCACCCAGTACCGGTACCGGTACTCGTATACTGTACTAGTACATTGGCATAAACTATTCTCCGGATAGCAAAGCTCTCCCTGAGAGTCACGCGGAAAAAGCAAACCCACATCCTCGGAAGTGCGTAGGAGAAGGGAAAAAAAGAAAAGGAAAAAAGAAAAGAAAAGGGTTCCGGGAGGGCGAGAGAGATGATGTGATGTAAAGTATGACCATACCGGCAAGGCAAAGAGAAAAGCTGGGAACGATAGTCTAACTTACGGTAATGCCCTGCAACGCAATGGAAATTGTCATAAAAAATAGGAAAAAATGAAGGTAAAAATAAAGCCTATAACTCTACGGAAGAGGAAATTGGGGGACATAAACCCTATGCAAAAGAAAGGAAAAGGAGAGAAGAGGAAAAGGGAGACGGAGAGGGAGGGGGAGAAAGGGGGAGAAGGAGAGATACAGGTAGTGTAGGCACTGTAGAGGGAGGGAGGGAGGGAGGGAGAGAAAGAGAGGGATGGAGGCAGGGAGGGCGAGAGAGGCAGGGAGGAAGGGCAAACAAACGAGTGTAAACCCCAAACTCGCGAATCCATGCCCACCCAACTGAATGAACCATGTCCCGGCCCGTAACCTCTTTCTCTCGTGGCTTCTGCTCTAATCTCATTCACTCACTGGATCACTGGATTAGCCAAGCGATCAATCAATCAAGCAATCAATCAATCAATCATCCACTCACGCGCCAGGTTGGCCGGGTCGTTATCATGGTTGGTTGGTCGGTTGGCTCTGCCTCACTGCCGGGCCGTCGCACTGGGGCAACAGGCTGGTACGGGTACCCTACCGGAACTGCACGGCCAATTGTAGCCAAAGTGTATTGCAAAAGCATGTAGTGCGGTGGAATTCAACAACACCTCTGGGAGCCCCCGCACGCCACCGGGGATACATCTTTGCTGCTGCCGCAGAATTGAGTTGGGGGAGCGAGAGTGTACTGTATGGAGACGGGCATTACTGGGGATCTACCATAATTGTATAGTACCCTCGTGTCATGGGGCGAGAAATGAGGTTCGGAGTGGAATAATACCGCGCTCAAAAGGGGAACATGTGCTCGAGTAACTAGTCAACAGTGCGGTGGAAGGTGAGGGGGGAATGAAGAGAGGGCGAGAGCGATGAGGGCTCATCCCGAAAGGTAGACAACGGCTGGCTGGGCTGGGGCCGGTTGGCCATGGGTGGAAGGCGAGAGGGAATTGGGGGGGGGGGGGGGGCAAAGTAGAAAGTGTGGGATGGGATAGGGCACGAGTGAGTGGAGCGTGGGGGAGATTTCAAGGGAAGGGAAGGTTTTGATGGCGCGGGAGGAAAGCTGGGGTTTGACTGGGGTTGGGCTGTTGCAAGGGAGAATTGGGGGGGCTCTTTTTCGAGAGGGATGCCGCGAGTAGCTGCCAGTCATGATCTACACTTAATTTTATGAGGAGTCTGTACCTCGACAACACACGTATCATAGCTAGACTACCGGTAAATGGTTTGGAAGTCGAAGTGTGTGGGCAGAGGTATCATAGGTGTCCCGGGCTCCTCAGCAGCAACCATCACCCCGGAGAGGGGGGGACCCCAAGAAATGGTGGGGCGTTGACTGCACCGGAGCCATGGACTCTGAGGGAAGGGAAATCAGAAAAGACAGGGTGGAGAGTGGTAACGGGAATGGAGAAAGAAGAAAAATATCGTGCTAACGGGAAAAGAAAAGGGCATCACAAAACGAGGGAGTTACAGAGTAAAAATAGAAACACAGGCAAAGAAAGCCTCCCCACTAGTAGGTTGCAAGACGAGTACTCGCTCGAATACTCGTACAATTGACCGGCGGTCTCTATTCTCAACGGTACCGGTATCATAAGCTCAAGCTTTCTATGATGCAAGAGGATTTCCAATGCAGGTAGGACCTCTCCCTGCGCTTTGATAACTTCCTTGGCCCAACGCCGGTCGTGTTGGCAAAGCTATTTCCCTTCCCCGGGTCGCTGGGTGGTCTCTCGAAGAGGAAGAGTCCAGACCCGAGATAAGTTGAGTTGCTGACACCAGACACACACAATGGCGCGGGTCCTCCGGCCCAAGGATTTAAACAGTATGGTACTCGAGTACTCTACAAGCAGTGAGAGGGCGAGGGATAGAGGACCCTGGAGTGGGAACCGTGGGATTGCCCCCCCCCTCTGATCCCTGTTAGAGTGGGGGGAGAGCCGGTTTTCCTCCTCTGAGCACAGCATCATCACCTTTGAGAAACTGGAGGCAAGGTGAGTAGCCGATTCGAACATCAGACGAATTAGGTTGCGGCCCAGTTTGGCAACTCGATGGCAAAGTTCCTACCATTGGGGAAGAGGGAGGGAAAAAAAAGGAAAAAAAGGAGGTAAGGAAGATATGGCTTCAGTGGGTGAATCTTACATCGGCGAAGGCCGATTCTGTGATGCTCCCCGGAGAAAGGCATGGCTTTCGAGACATAAACCGTGATGAACACGGACACGAACACACAGAGCCCGATATTTGTGGACAGGGCGGAGCAAAAAAAAACCCAGTTCTGTTGATTCACCCGTAACTCCCCACCATCTTCATGGGGGGATTTTTTTTTTTGCCCCTCCCTACGAGTGCCGTAGACTACTGTTGTGCTCTTCCTTCCCTATCGTATCCTTCCCCACCACGCACACATCCACACATCCCCATCGCCACCAATCCCAAGGCTCATCAGCTCTCCAATTGGCGTTGCAGGATCTATGCACAACAGTACGGTAAGTGTTCTCCTCGTGTACCAGTACTAGACTGTCGTTCTCGTTAGTGCGTCTCCCTCCCTCTCTCTCCCTCTCTCCCCATCGTGCCTCTGCGCCCGTCTGGGTCTTTCTTAGCCTGGACGCGGCTGCGTTGCAGAAAAGCTGGGGTGCATGCGTACCGGTACGGGTAAAGCGCAAAACTACCGTACTCGTATCTTCTTCGTACACGACACTTCCTTCCACAGGCAGACTTACCCTTGCAATTCGTGTAATAGCTGCGGCAAGCGTATCAGAGCTACCGCTACGTACGGGCACAGCGCCGGCGGAGTACCGGTAGAGCACCGTAGGATGCCCGAGTAGAGAATGCGGCGCCGTACAGTAGCACCATGCTCCTTTTTTAAGGTCGCCCACGTCAACAACTTGAGGTTAATAATGGATAGGCCCACATACATAAAGGCTCTGCTCGCACATGTTCGAGTTATGCACTAGGTCGAGAGAAGTACATACATCATACATGGTGCATTGAATAAATATACTCGAATGCGATACTGAAGTATGTTGTTATTGTGGTGGTGGTGGTGGTGGTGGTCGTTGTTGCTATTGTCGTTGTTAAAGCATTACCGGTATGAGGAGCAGATCATAATGCGGGGAGTGTGGGGGGTTAGGATGGGAGCTGTTTGGCTCAACAACTCTTACTGTACGGTACTCGAGTACCGGTACTCCATACCATTGGCGAGGGGTCCCGCACGAGTAAGGGAGGAGTGTCGCTCGAATCAACTAAAATGCTCATAGCCTCATGTTGCTAGCGGAGCCTCTGCGACAGCTGGTCTTCCGTGTGCGGATATTCGGACGAGCAGGAGGTGTGGTGCAGGTATCATATGTAATATGTAATGTACGGTACTCGGGCATGTAGGATATGTATGTATCGTAGCAAAAATCGCGGTACGGGACCCACCGGCCAGGGCAAAGACTTTGAAGGTGGAAAAAGTGCAATTCCCATTTCTTCCTATTATTCACTTGTCTTCTTCTTCCTCCTCTTCCTCTTCCATTCTTGAAAAAAAAAAAAGCGGGTGCTTTGTACGTCCCCCACGGCTCCGCCGACCATTCGGGTGGGTGAATTTTCAGCGGTGGACCCTGAGCCTGAGTATAATGACGTCAGTCGGGGCTAAGGCACTGTACGAGCACTCGTGCAATATCGGCGTATCATACAATAGCAGGAAACACACCAGGCATCAACACATCAACGATCGGCGGCAGAGATGTGCGGGGTCTGGTCAGGCAGTCGCTGGAAGCGCTGTGGGGGGCTGGATAACCGGTGCGATTTCTGGATTACAGTGCTTGCAAGTTACTACAACATGTCAATCATGGTCCCGCACTCAATTTTGTCCAAAATTTGTCGGTAGATAGTGGCGAGACTCCCCCCATTTGTAGAGTACCGGTACCGGTACTCGTACGGTGCTTGTACGGAGGTACAACCCCTAAGTTTTGTATATTTCACTAGCAAGGGGGTGCTCGGCTAGCAATGGTAAGATGCCCAAATCGGGAAGTTTTCTCTGAAAGTTACCCAATCCATGGCGAATATTACTCAATTAGTCCCCTTCCCCCTGCTGGTCGAGCACCCCCTTGCTAGTAAAATATACAAAACTTAGGTGCTCTACCTCCGTATGTGTGGTGTGTTTTTTTTTTCCTGGGAGCGTCACTCGCTAAGTTACTCGTACACTACTGTACCGGTATCATGACACACCTTTGGCCCTATCACCGCCGATTCACCGGTACCGGTACCCGGAAAACATTGAATTGACCGCTATCACGGGCCCCCTTCCTAATTAGGCTATTTATTTGCAGTTAAATCTTCCTGATCAAGGCAACACGGCTGGGCTACCCACAACATCGCATCGACGCGTAGCCCTTCCCACTCGAAATCCTTCCTCGTGGCCAACAAAGGGCAATCAATCAATCACTTCATCCGTCCGTTCTCGTCATCCGACACATACCAGCTTTCGTTTCGACGACGCCACTTTCTCCTCCAGAACTCATCTCGGTTTGTGCCAGCGGACCCGAATTGCCCTTGCAATGTCCTACTTCTTCTCCACCCCCTTGGATATCGACATCCGACTGGAGGACATTGATGAGAAACGGCAGATGGTGGATGTGAAGCTCGACAAGAATAGGCGGGAAAAATGTCCGCTCTATTCGGATGGGGAATCCGTAAAGGGGGCTGTTACCATTAGGCCAAAGGATGGAAAGCGTCTGGAGCATACGGGGATCAAGGTGCAGTTCATTGGGACGATAGGTTGGCTGTCCTTCAATCGAATCTGCAAAGCTTGTGTGTTTGCCCGGCAGTGTAGCGGAATTGGGCCGTCGAACACTGTGTGTATGTGTGTGTGTGATTGAAGTTATGCTGAATGTTGCGCGTTTGCTCTTCTCGCATTCTAGAGATGTTCTACGACCGTGGAAACCATTACGAATTCCTTTCCCTTGGTCAGGAGTTGGCTGCCCCCGGCGATCTCCAGCATCCGCAAACCTTCGATTTTGAGTTCAAGAATGTCGAAAAGCAGTACGAGTCGTATAACGGCATCAATGTCAAGCTTCGCTACTTCGTCAGGGTTACGGTCTCGAGGAGGATGGCAGATGTGATCCGTGAGAAGGACATATGGGTATATTCTTACCGTATGCCGCCCGAGAGCAACAGCTCGATCAAGATGGACGTCGGCATCGAGGATTGTTTGCACATCGAGTTTGAGTACTCAAAGTCCAAGTATCATCTCAAAGACGTCATCGTCGGACGGATTTATTTCCTTTTGGTACGGCTCAAGATCAAGCACATGGAGCTGTCAATCATTCGCCGGGAGACCACTGGGACCGCCCCTAATCAGTACAATGAGAGCGAGACCCTCGTCAGATTTGAGGTGGGTTTCCCGCGCGCGAAGGAGACAATTACTCGGTAACGTCTAACTGATTTGCCTAGATTATGGATGGATCTCCCTCCCGGGGTACGTATTCAGCTATCCGCTTATGCGACTCATCACCTGCTGCTCAAGACTGCTTCTCTGATCGCTTATGACATGATCAATAGGCGAGACCATTCCTATCCGCCTTTTCCTTGGCGGCTTCGATCTGACCCCCACATTTCGCGAGGTCAATAAAAAATACTCAACCCGTTACTACTTGAGTCTCGTATTGATTGATGAAGGTATGTTTTGTCTTTTTTTCTTTTTCTTTTTTCTTTCCTGAAAACAAAAATAAAAATGGAAATTATTATTATAATCATGGCTTGCCTGCCCATTATCCCCTGGGCGTGGGGTGTTTGTTTGCGAATACCTGAGGATACGCTGGGATTTTGGTGGTTGTGATGGAAGTGGCTGAGGGATACGACCGACTAATTGGGCGGGACATAGATGCTAGACGCTATTTCAAGCAGTCCGAGATTGTGCTCTACCGTCAACTAGTGTGAAGGAATTGATTGGCTGGGGTAATGGATGGCCTATCGAGTTTGGTTTTAACTGTAAATTTTTTTGAAAAAAAACTTTTCACTCTGGCGTAACATCATTAAACCTTCCGTACCGGGAGTGCTGGGGGTGTGAAATTGAGCCGAGGAAACTCGTGCGAGCTATCAAAGTGCCGATTTTTCTTGGGAATTTTCCATTCCGTAATAACAGAGGGAGCAAACCACGGTCGATGGACGGCGGTAAAAAAATTTCCCAGTGATTGTTTTTTTCTCTTCTTTTCTTTTTCTTCAGGTCTTTCCTTTTCCCTCGCACACCGAGAACAGGCAGGCCTCGGTGCATTGGCTTGAATCATGATGCTTGGTGATCCCACGCGACTGGATCCCTGTTAGCGGGCGATCATAGCGCATCACATGAAGCGAAAGGAGGGACACGCTCCCAATCGTACTGTGGGGAAGGAAGAGAAAACGAGAGAGAGGGTAGGGGAGGAGAGAGTGTGCAAGAAGTGAGAAAGGGGGAGGAGAATGAGGGAGGACAGGGGAAAAATAATAATAATACGGTAGTACAGTAGATGGATTGTTTATAATACCTAGCCGACCTATCAAACTACCGGAAATTTGTTAGCTGAAAGAAAGAAACAAAACATTTCAACCGGCCCGGAAAAACCCAAACAAAACCCCTCATAGCCTTGCAGCCCCTCTCCCACTGTATATTCTCTAGCCGGCAGCGTACGACAAGTTAGACTCGCTGTGCTCGGGCACAATACTCGCCGATCCACTGATCCACCAAGTTGCCTTGCATACCCATCATACAATCTCTTCTACTCGAGCATAGCTAGCATATCCTATCTACTCCTACACCCTGTTTCGTCCAGGTCACTCTTGATACGAGGGGTAGTACTAGTCTTGCTACCCGCGTGGCCTTTGCTTCCTTCATGGCTAACAAGGGGTCGAATGGGGTGGGGGCTGGGAGGTGAGTATGTAGGTGGATTAAGTGTTCCTGAGTGAATGGATCGATGGGAATAATCAAACTGGACTGACAATCAATAGCATCTGAGTTCCTAACATGCCGGTGCTGGTCAGGATAAAAATACCAATTCCTCAAATTGCCGTACCGGGTCCGGCTATCTAGATAATATGATGATGAGGGTAGGGTGCGGTATTGTATCATATGGTGGTTTGTCTTTTCACCTATTGGAGGGGTATCGTCCGCCGGGTCGGCGGCCGGTGAAGTGAAGGGAAGGGAGAGGGGGAATCATTTCGAATTGGCCTGGGCGGATCCAGTCCCAGGGTTGAGGAGCTCCCGCGTCCCCGAGACAAATAGTGACTCGTGCCGTCTGTTGGGAAGGGGTTTCTTATTCTTTTCTTTTCTCCCACGTTCTTTACCGGTGCCGTGATGCCTTATCCATCCCACGGTACAGTACTCGTACAGTACAACCCATGAAGGAGGGACCGATGGCCTAGTTGACAAAAAATGAAAAGAAAAAAAAAAGGTTGGATGGCTCTGGTTTTTTTGCTGGGCATGTGTGGCAATTTGTGGTCCTCTTGCCTAGTTGTCCAGAAATTATGAGCCCTTCCCTTTGATGCATTGCTAGATAAGTCACTGTTTTTCTCCACCACATTGAGTAGACCACGGCAGATGCCTCGACATGGGACTGCATACCCTCATGGTTATATTTTGCAGACAGTGGCCTAACTATTTTGCCCGCTATTACATACATACATGTTGGCGGGCAGTGAGGGGAGCCACAGGTGTGTTGCTGAGCAACGCTCGTTCCCTCATTGTGTCATCCCCTAATTTGCATCCTGTCTTTCTTTCTTCCCCATCTGTTCACTTTTGCACTCACTCACTGACTCTTCACACTCTAAGACAGCCCCTGCCCCGGCTGGAACCTATTGCCATACTCATCTGTGATGTGCTCCAATATTGAAGAAACCCGCTTCCACGGCCCGGCGAGCAGCGGGGAGGAAACAAGTGCGGCTAACAGGGACCTACAGAAAAGCCCGTATAGGTAGATGGTGCATTGAGATCGCCTGCCAAAGATATTGAGGGGGGCATAGAGGGTATAGGGCGGAAGGTCTCGTTACAAGATGAGCAACTGCCACCTGGGGAAGCGAAGCCTTAGTCCGACAAAAAGAGGGAATGGCTTCTATAGTGCTAAACGGGGGACGGAGAGATGGAAGGGGAGAAAAGCCAGTGTTCTTCGGAATCACAATGCAGACTCTCCCTCGAGCCTGGTTTGCACCTCGCTGCATCTCCTGCGGTGAAAGAAAATATCAACTAAGGCTTCCCCCCGGAGAAGCGCTGGCGAAACTAGGCCGGGGTATAGATCTCGGTTGCGTGAGGACTGGGAAATTATTACGAGTGATGTCTTATGGTGCATATCTCGAGCAACTTCCCATGCTACCGGAATAGCTCAAACCCTGTACCGGAGTAAGCTGTTTACTGACGGGCGAGCCTCACTCAAACTGTTTTTGGATATGGAAAAGGAACTCTTATTTGCCGCCTCGGGACATTCTGGTGGCTCAAATAAGGATGCCACATGGAGGCCGAAAGGCTATGCATTCCGAATACAGTTGAAACGCAGCCGATTCATCTGGGGCGGTCACGATCTCAATGGCCTTGTTGAAAACTGATCTTGTCAACATTTTATCATTTTCTAAGCTTCGGGTATTCAGGGACCCTTAGGGTAGTTTTAGCGGTTCGGAAAGAAGCAGAGGTGAGAAGGGCCACGCTTATTTCCGGGTTCAGCTGTGCGAGGCGGGTCCCCTGGCTGATTCTGGCGCTCTAGGTACCGAAACCCTTTTTTTAGACGAAAATACAACTGACAGCATCTAGGAAATTAGGGTATGATTGGGGTCTGAAAGGGTGCGCAGGGGAGCTCAAAGGGCACCCTGGTATGTGTATGCGATCGGAGAGGGCCCGCCTTGACAATTTTCTCGCTATCTATTCACCATATCAGCTGTCCCACTTCCTTATCGGGGGGGGTATCCTGAAGTGGGCCGGGCCGGACCACATCTCAATCCAACTAGCGAACCGGGTGGCTAGTCCGGCCCTTCTCTCAACATTTGGATGTACCTTGGATCGATCGGATTGGATATGATGTTCAGCTGCCGGAGAGCATGCGCAATGGCATGTCCATGTGATATGGTGATGACTGTCTGGAGATAAGGTCTATGCAGCGACCTTGGGCTGCCCTTCGGCTCGTAGGTGGGAAGTTTCAGATGCGCTGCTCCACCCATCATGTCATTTGTGATCTAACGGATAACACTTGAGTCAGGCTGCGCTTGAGAGCATATATCATAGACTTGGACGCCACAATGTGCGGAATGTGCTCGAGTATGGTTCAGATCGCCGGGCCAATTCCGTGGTAAGTAAGTGGGGGGGGGTGGCGGAACCAGGATTCGAAGCGAGTGCGGAGCATGTGGGACCTATCAAAACCGCGATATCCTCCACATAGAACTTGGGAATGAACTCGGAAGGGTAGCACGTTCGCAGAGCAGGGAGGCGCCTTGTCTAAAGAATGCCCGAGGAGAAGCTTCCCCCAAGATCCAAACCGCCTTTCACCACATGGAGGGAATGCCGGATGTGCGTCAGATTGGTCGGGAGGTCGTCCAGGTTAATTAGTTTAAACTATGCAGCTTCCCCACAATATACCGAAGATGCACACATACCTTTCGCATACCCCACCCCTTGTGGCTTCCATGCGGCCATCTCTGAGGATCGGCGATTCTGGTTGAAAACGGCCACCATCAAGATGAGAGGGTGACGTTTGGTGCGGTCAAGCTTCATCTAGGATCCAGTTCCCAGCGAGTGAGAGCCTATGATATGACTTCACTCTCTCTCGGAGATGCCCGGCGCGATAGGTGTTGAGGGCCATGACCATCCGGAAAGAAAGGATTAAAAGGGCTATCTTGGGGGTCGTCCGAACTTCCCAAAAGCGGTTTATATAATCGTATGTAACAATTACCCTTTGCTTGGCCGGCCAAGGTACCGTAAGATCTTTTGTAATTCGCTATCCCGCCAGGCCCCTGGTCTCCTGATTCAGAGACGAAATCTCCTGAGAAAGATTAGTTCATTCCTGGCACGGTATAGCCTGAGCTTTCTGGGCGTGTTGAGCCTCGTTGACTGGTGTTCACAGTTCTGCTAACCTGTCGGCTGGGCCTGTTGTAGATCGTTGCGGTGATTTCCACTGGCGATCTGATAGCGGATTCCGAGAGATCTTACGGTAGGCGAATGGTTAGTGCAAACTCGCAATGGATACCCCCCACGTTCAGAGGTGTGGTATCTTGCTGGTTCCCAGGATGCGGGTCTATGAGACAGGTTGCTTCCACCCTTACATTACTCGAGTACGGTACATATCATGTTCGTGGGGTAGTAGGATCCACATCGTCGTCAGTTCGTCACCCGAGTACTCGAGTACGGCGCGTTACTCGAATATGAGGCTGGTAAGTTAATTCGCACGATGCAACCTCCAATACAAGTACAAGTCCTGAACTTGTGTGAGGGTCCTGCTTGGCCGTCCATGGCGGTATTGTGGTGGGTGAACTTTGCTCTCTGCACTCTGTGGGGTGAATCATTCCTAGACCGAATTAGGGCTTCACTACTCTACCTTACCTGCCTACGCCTCACCACGAGTTCTACGGGCAGAATGATTATCTACTCCTCCACCTCCCTCAGGCAGCACTGCCCGCGGTGGAGAAAATCCACCGCGCATATCCATCAAAAGCAAAAATTTCACCCCAGACACTTCAGCTCTCCATTTTCGCATTTTCTCCTGCTCTTACTCTTCCACTTTGACACTCTAGCCTACTCTGCTCGAGTGCTCCCCATTGGCTCGGGAACCAAAGTACCAACTTACTCGCTGTTCTTTTCCACCTTCTTTTTTTTCTTCCCTTTTTACACGATACTGGTAACTTGGGTGGTTGTTCGACTATTGAGGCTGAATCCGTATGCTCTTCACGGTATTTTCTCCCGACATGAAACATTGTTAAAGAACAAGGCT